CCAGAGCGGCGGAGGTGCGGTCACCACCTCCTACCCTATACAATGTTGATACGGCCATGTACACTAGACACTATCATCACGGTACGTAGTACTTGAGTTCAGTAAACTAAGGCGTGTGTGATTAATGTGTCGCAGTGCCAAATTCAATTAGGGGGTTTCAAAGCTGTCATTAGTTAGGATTTTTTTGGCGGAGATGAGCCTCATTTTTGTCGAAAATGAGGGGGCTTTCAGCTCTGAAACACCACTAAATTACCACAAAAACCAGATAATTACCGTGTAACCCGTAACCCCGCGTGAACAAGTCGCAGGGCGTGAACGAGTTGCCGCGCGTGAGAGCGTGAAGGAGTTGCCGCGCGTGAAGGAGTCGCAGGGCGTGAACGAGTTGCCGCGCGTGAGAGCGTGAAGGAGCCGCCGCGCGTGAGAGCGTGAAGAAGTTGCCGCGCGTGAAGGAGTCGCTGCGCGTGAGCGCGTGAAGGAGTTGCCGCGCGTGAGCGCGTGAAGGAGTTGCCGCGCGTGAGAGCGTGAATGAGTTGCCGCGCGTGAAGGAGTTGCCGCGCGTGAGTGAGTCGCCACGCGTGATGGAGTCGTAGGGAGCGGACTGGTCGCCGCGCGTGACTAGTAGCTGGGCGTGGTGGAGTTGCTGCGTGGTGAAAAAAGTCTGAACGTGAAGGGGTTGCTGCACGTGGTATTGCTGCGGGTGAGAATTGCTGCACGTTATACTGTTGTTTGTGCACTAGTGGTGATGCCGTCAAGTGAAAGAAGAAAGTTGATGAACTGGATACAAGGGGAGTTGTTCCTGCGAAGTGTTTTTATTTGCGGTCCACACGGGCTCCACAAGATAATTTCTTCCTGGCTGGTGTTGTGTGATTCTGTTGGATTAAGGCTCTACGAAAGATCTTCATGTGGATCTGTGGCTTGCTACAGCGGCGCAATTTGGTCAACAAGTGACAGAGCTTCGTCTTCGGTCTTGCCACGCTGCAAAAGTTGCAGAAGCAACTCCTTGCGCACAGCCGATTGCGCTTCCCTGAACCGAAGCTGGCGCTCATCCCGTCTCTCTTCCTGCTCTCTGATGGCGCGGGCTTCGGCAGCGAGACGGCTGGCCCGGGCCTCCTCGAGTTCTTCACGGCGCCAGCTAGATTCAGCATGCAGTCTTTTCTCGCTAAATTCTCGAAACGTTGTTGCAAAATCACGTTTCCGCGCTTGGTTTGCTTCGCGCTTCTGGTGGCTGCGCCAGTTCTCTGGGGGGTATCGACGCTTGAGGAGTGTGCTGGAGTTGGCGCAGTAGTGGTCGGCGAAACTGACGCCTGCGAGTACTGCGTGGGTAATTCCGACGTGGTGCCATCCGACTGCTGCTCTGCTGTATCAATTAGCTCATGGCCATCGCTGGCCGTGCTTGTAGACGGCAAGTTGGAGATGTCGAAATCTTCGTCACGATCGCTGCCATGTTCGCCGCGGTGTTCTTCTTCTTCGTTCACTAGCGTCGTATAGCTACTGGGACTTTAGGCATCGTAGCTAGGGGCAAATTGGGCAAGGTTAAAACTCAAACTTGGTTCACCAGCTTCAGCACTTCCATACAAGCCTTCTTGAGTGGACCCATCACTATTTGCTGACGGATTGTCCGTGGTAGAGAATGGAGAAATGTTTTGCCGGCCTCCAAACATGCCTTTGATGTCGTAGTAGAGCGGACAAGCTTTTTCAACAGCTTCTTCGAGCGCCAGCCCTGCTTTGAGCTGCGATTCAGTAAGGCCAAATCCCGTCTGGGAGTCTAACCTTTCCCTGATTTTCCTGAGCACCTTAAAGTAAGATGTCGAGCGGCTTTAGCATGTAAAAGCATCCCATCGCTCGGTATACTTAGCCGGTATCAGCGAACCTGCATCCGCAAAAGCCTTCAAGCAAGATGTAAACACGTACTCTGCCATTTGACCGAAGCCTGAAATCTTTGTGCGCGCCCCTCCAAAGCCAGCAGAGTGGTCTCCATTTGCCTTGCCCACAATCACACTGAAATTAGCCGTTTTTTTTCAGCCATTCCACCATAAACTGCCTCTGCAGTAAGGTGGTGTGGCCACCCTTCTGGCCCTTTTGGCGTGCCATGCTGTACCCTTCGCTTCCCAGCCACCAGATTCGAAAGTAACCAGGTTATATATTTCGGAAAATCTACTGACCAGGTTGTTTTTACATAGCCGTGCGACAAATGACCAGGGTATTGACCAGGTAATCAGTACGGTATTGACCAGAATGTAATTAAAAAGTAAATTACAATGATGTGCAAAGATTCCCCTTACCCTATCAAATCTTAAAATTTTGTACAACGGTGGGCGGTGAAACGTTCTCCTGGCCTCTCATTTCTCAATTTGCGCCGAAAGCCCACAATGAAGCGGAAACTGTGTAATGTGGAAGACGTCGACTCCGACGAAGACGACGAAGCTGTGTCAACGTTCGGTGGAGGAGGCGATAGTTCAGGCGACGACAATGAAGACACGGACCGGACGCAGCTAGCCCAGGGCACGCAGTTAGTTCGGGAGGGCAGCGAAGACTCACTCGACGATCTCTTACTCCAGGAAGATTCATTTGAAGGGAAGGAGCTGAAGCGGCTCCACGCCAGTTGGGACGCTTGGGAGAGGTATCGAGTTAACTACTGCGAGGAGGAGAACGCGCATCTAGTCGTTCAAGAAGCAGTGGAAACAGCTGCGGAATATACATTCTGAACTTCATGTGGAGACTGCTTGACGAAAATGTGAAGAGTGCGCATGAGGACTCTGGACTCAATATCTTCCGGCTACGTGTGCTAGCAGCCCTGCTTAATCTGTAATACATTTGTTTACTCTGTGTAATTGATGTGTACGTATTCCCGTTATAGCGTAAGTACCTGTGCAAAAGACGCACCAGACATGAAAAGAAACTTGTCCATGAAAGACAGAGAGAAAACGTGAAGAAGCTATCGACGCCTTGAATAAACACAAAGTGCTCAAACCTGGTAAGCGACCGGCATCAACCTGGTTTCCAGCCTAAAACCAAAGCAGTATTGAAAAAAAAACAAGTTCGAAAACCTGGCAGAAACCTGTTTGAAAAACCTGGTGTAAATCCTGACACCAAAATAAAAGAAAAGGATACAATCCATCTTATCACACCTGCACTTACACCTGGTGCGCAACCTGGTATGTAACCGGACACGCAACGAAGACGGAGCTACAGCTCAGCTTGCAGCCGGATGCCGTCCAAGCACCATGATTACTTTGGAGCCCGACTTCGATATAAAATGGACGCGCAGATCTCTTTATGAATCATTTAGTGAGTATTCAGAGCTGCAGAAAAACAAAGAACATCCATTTATTTATATTACGGTTTTATTACAGGTGAATTTTATCTTACAGCCTGTTTTTTACCCTGCCAAATTCAAATCAGGAGATAAAACAGGTTAAATTCGCGCGGCTATGCAAAAATAACCTGGGCAGTATACTCGTTCTATATATTTAGCGGCGTACCCCTAAAAATGAGAAATCAAAAAATTAGCTGGAAAAATGCGTCTCGGGAGGCGCATTTTTCGACAAAAATGAGGCTCATCTCCGCCAAAAAAAATCCTAATTAATGACAACTTTGAAACCCCCTAATTGTTTGTATTGATCGTTTATAATATGGCGCGGAGTGTCTACGCGTACATCAGTAATACGTATTTTTCAGATCAAATATAATACAGTAGCAGGGCTGTGAGCAAAAATAAAACGAGAATCATAGCACGCTGGCAAATTGACCGACAGAAGAATACAATTTGGAGGAGCGCACAATTATTCACTCGATCCTAGACGCAGTTAACAACCGTACAGCTACAGTTGTGTGGGCTTGACCGTGATACTCTGCTGCAAAGTGTAGGTGTGGCCGGCCGGAAGAGGTTGCTTGACGCTGACCCGACCAGGTTCGACGCAAACCATGTTGATGTACTCCTCGTCACCGAAGTCCTCCAGCTTCTTGGCACGCTCGGCACCGGGGTTCCACACGACGGCGTCGGTTTTGGTCTTGATCGCCTTCTGACCTTTCTTACCAGTGATGAAGCCCTTCTTCTGGACGGTCACAGAGCGGTCTTTGGTGCTGACACCTTTGATGGTCGCGACGATTTTGTCCGGGGCGTCCAGGTACGTGTTTCCGGTCTGCGCCGTGGAGTTGGTGAATGTGACGGACTGGCGAGTCTCCGTTTTGTTCACCTTGGCCACCTGATCGAAGTAGTCGACTCCCTTGAGGCCCGACACCGCCACACCGCCATTACGGGAGTCATCCACCCACAGGTAATTGTGCAGTAGCGTGTGGAACTCGATCTGTTCCGTGTGTGTGTTTTGCACACGCAGCGCAGTCTGAAGCTCGTTAGCGTACAGCTTCACCTCGTACTCAAGCTTGAAATCTACAGGCCACATCTGACGAGTAGAGTTGCTGGCCGCCATGGTGAACTTTGCCACGCTGGGGCTGTTGTCGGTAGCTTCCTTAGTGCTGGCCACAGCCCAGTTGGTGATGCGAGCGAAGCCGTGGTTAGGGAAGCCAGGGGCGCCGCCAAAGTTAGGGAACACCACAGGGATGCCGCCACGAATGGGGTTCACGCCATCCATGAATGAGTCCTTCGACATGAAGATGACGTCAACCTTCGGGTCCGTTGCGGCGCGGAACGACTTGACGTGGGCGCCGAATAGGAAGACCTCGGCACTGGAGCCATGCGGATGCGACAGCTTGACGGTCTCCAACTCAGCGTTCACGGCAGTTAGCGACGCTAGCAAAGTCGACACGAAGACTGTAGTTTTGGACATGAACGAGCTGACCATTGTAGAGACGTCCAGCTCGGGATTGCTTGCTCTCCAGGCGATTAATTGAAGAATGAAAGCTTTAATCTAAGAGACAACACCTCGCAACTAGCCATGACAAAGCAGCACGGGCACATCACAAGATACTGGATTAATACCAGCAGGAATAGCGTATGGGTAGGAGGAAACCTCGTACGATCGCCAACTGGACTATCTATCAGTGGTCAAGTTTATTATACGTGCTTTATTAAAATTGGCTCATCGCAAACAACGCACTTCACACGTCACTATTATACGATGGCGATATCCTTTGTGTTTACCAGTACAATTTACTGCGATGATTCTCAACCTATTAAGACCTCTTGCTGTTCAACGAGACTGTATGCAAGGGGAGACGATTATCGTCTCCCCCTGTAACGTTACTGTGATTATCGCGACGATAATCAAAGTAACGTTACAGTTGTATTAGTGTTAATGTGAATTGACCCTCGATTTAAATTTACTCGCACGAGTTAAGCTGAATCGGCCGTCGACTCAGCTTAAATCGCGCGAGTTCTTGTGAATCCGCATTAGTTGCTTACTATCAATGTTACTTAACTTTTTTTGCTACACTGAGTTTAAAATGTGGCTAAGACAGCTCTCAAACGCAGCCATTCCCTGCTCAAAGTGAAGTTGTGCGTACGTTTCAGGAGCAGTAGCAGTGTATTCTTGCGGTTCACCATGCACCTGTGTGAGACGATGCCACACTGAGAGGAGGGGGCGAAGAAATTGAATAAAGCCATACGGAGCATGCAGTAGTACATGCATACTGTTTTGATACATGTATCTTATTGTGAACACTGTTCACTTCTGGGGGCTGGTTCTACAACGGTACTGTCCAATTGCAAAATCCATACTGAGTCCAATAAGGGCGATCTGTGAATAAGTTTGGGGGTTCTGTGACTACCGTCTCCCGTCTGCAAGTGCATGCAATGGTAGAGCGGAGTTCGGTACATGTAGCCACGGGGACACGATCAATAGACCGTTTCACTTAGTCATTCGAACGATCCGCTGACGGTAGAAATTGTCATGCAGTGTCGCCGGACGTCCATTTTTCCTGTGAAACAACACTTGTTCCTGGTGCAGTCGGTCCATCTTGTCTAAGTATACGCTGGCAGCATGGCAGACGTTGCGTAGCTCAGTACTATCTAACTGTTCCGCCACAACTTCTTCACACTTCAAGATCCTCCTGGCCCGCTTGAGCTTGCCCAACTGCAGCGCATTGTACATTAAATTCACCCTGCATTTGCTCTCCAGCACAGGGTCCTTGAGACCCATAGAAATCCCAATCTGTAGCTTGGCCAGCAACGTCGACTGGCTTAAATGGCGACATAAGAAGTGTCCACCTCCTAGGGTGGAGATGTAGGCGTTGGCCGTCACTAGGGCCACGACAGCGTTGACGAACCTGACCGCACGTCTCGCCGACGCCATATACAGTGGTAGCAGCTGTCTTGGGCGGTATGTAACTAATACAACAGCTCTCCAGCTGCCGACAGTCTCCGTCACTGCATAGCGCGCTTCAGCGTCTTCCCATTGGTTAAACGCGTTCAGTGTTGATGGCTGAATAGTCTGCTTAGAGCTGAGTGCCGCCAGCAGCGCCAGCAGCTGCCGCATCTCGTCTGGATACGACGCGGAGCCTTCGAGTGAGAGAAGGAAGGACACGAACTGGAAAACTTCTGGATCCACGATCGCCACGCTGCCATAGGCCACGCGCGTTGCTTGGGTGGGAGTGGGCAGGAGTGCAGTTGTAGACGCCGCTCGATTCAGCGCTCGCAATGCTCTGCGCTCCTGTAGCGGCGCCTCGAACGCCACGACGCGCTGGCGCAATCCAACCGCAATCATCGCTGTCATGCTTATTCTTGTTTCTGGAATGGCTTTAAATGCCATTCGCTAAAAAAAAAACTTTTGAAGTGAAATGGGTTTTATCCAATAGTCAGCGTCGATCTTGAAACGACGCGTCCTCAGGAAATCCTCGCACTAGACCATGTCCCTGTTCCAGGTGCGCGAATGGTGGACTGCTAAGGGCGAGCATGATGAGGAGTATACGCCTGGGACGCTGGTGGTGGGCAACGTGGATAATGATTCCTCTGGACACGGTAAGTGCCGCCTCGTTCGTGAGTTGTCTTTTGATTTTTACCCTCCTGGTTGCTGGAATTCCACAGTTAAAATCGTAACGGGCAGCTTGAACGGGGTGCTGCGCATGTATTGCCCTACGCAGAGCGAATTCCGGATCGAGCATCTACTGCTAGAGGAGAATATTCGACGTCCCATTTTGCAGTTGGCTCTTGGCTACTTTATTCCGTGAGTTGAATAGGATTAAAGTTGATGAAAAGCAATTGACAGCTCACGTTATTTTCTGACAGTAACCAGCGCATTTTAGCACTCGCCATCCTTCAGCCGAGGCGAATCGGAGTTTATGTGGTGGAGGGCGTGGGCGGAACGGGCATGGCGGCCAATTACTTTAAGATCACGCTGCGATACGAACACCTACTTGGCATCGACGGTGAACACTTTACAGCATACAACTTTATCTACGGGCCTTTCGGGTCACCTAGCTTACATTCGGGAACAGGAGCTCCTCAACGATCAGAGCGTGATCATCTGTGCGTACAGTCGTTGGATGGCCGGCTGCAGTTCTTCGAGCAGGACAGGTTTGCCTTTTTACAGCCGCTCAACAACAACTTTCTCCCGGGAGCGATATGTTATGCGGCCAATATGGACGCTGTGGTAGCTGCCACGTCCGATTTACAGCTCGAATGCTACCGCTATCAAGTTCTGGCATCGGCGTCGCTTAAGAAGAAAAGAAATGCTTTAGACGAAGACGGCAAGGAAGATCGACAAAAAGAAGCCGCGTTGGCGTCAGTGCATTGCGACTGGAAGATAAATATTGGCGAAGTCATCGTGGATATCCGCGTCGCACGGGTGTCATACCAGGAATCAGCTTCAAGTTTTGACATCCTCGTACTGGGTGAGTTCACGTTGTTCGGTATCAAACCGCAAGGAGAGGTTTTCCTGCAGAAGCGACTAGGTTTCCATCCGTCGGCGTTTATTCCTTTTCGACGCTACGCTTCACCGACCGAGAGGGTATCACAGAGTACAACAGGGATGGAGAACCTTCTCATTGCCAGCCACACGAAACTCTGGAGTGTCTTCAAGGAAAAGACGCTCGTTTGGTCTGCATGTGCGTCAACAGTCCCGGTGGCACTGCAGATCACCGAACTGGGAGGCATCGACGGGATGATCGTGAGTTTGGACTCGGACGGAGCGCTGAGTGTCAACTACATGGGCACAGACCCGCCGTCTTCTGCTGTTGTCGCGCCAGACACAAAGGAAATCAACTACGAGGAAATGGATGAGGAGCATCGGCAATTATTGAATGTCATACGTCGCGCACAGGGCGAACGAAGGACAGAGCCCAAGGATCGAGTCTTGATTCGAGCGCAGGTGCCAGCGATCCTGGATGCGCTACCAGATCGTAGCGATGAATTCAATCGCGGTGGAGCAGGCTCCGCACAAGAAACGAACAGTAAGAATACGCAGCTGACAATGCGCGTGTACGTCACGTACACTGGAGCAACGCGTGTCTCCAATGTGACGCTGTCGGTGTCGACACCCGAGAATGTCGTGGCTAGTGACTCCTCGTTCGTGATCGGGAGTATCGACGGCAAGGCATCGACGCCGCTTATTATCCCAGTCGTCTTACGTCCAAGTTCCGACGCCATGCCTACGTCGCTCTCCGTTACAATCTCAGCGTCTTACACACTCGAGACAGGCCAGCCGAGGGTCTCGCAGTGCGTTGTGAAGCTCCCCATGTGCATGGCATGTCGCCTCGTCCCTCCCGTCAAGTCCAGTACCTTTAAGTTTACTCTCGAGACAAACCAGGAGCCTCTTGAACTTGCTAGTTTGTTTGAAGACATGCTCCATCAGCCAAGTTGCACGCCCGAGTGGGCGAAGCAGGTAGTGACAGGAGGCTCCGGCACAAATGTACTGAGTTTTCAGTACTATAACGGCGTCGAGGCGACAATCCTCGTATCGAAGAATGCCGGACGCTATCGTATCCAGTCTAACGAGCTCGAGGCGCTCTGGATGGTGTCGCAGGAACTAGTGGCACGACTTCGTGCATTCTTCGACGGACAAGAACTGCACACAGAGGCCAAAGGAAGCGACGCTGGAACTGCCACGGCTCTCGAGGTGTTCTACCAGGAGCCACTGCCGCTAGCTGATTACTTCGGCGCTATTGACGCGCACTTCGTGCTTCGGAAGGAAAAACTCGAGCTCGCAGCGCAGCTGAACGACCGAGCGCACCAGTTCCGTGTGATCCAGAAGCGGCTATTGGTGCGCTACAAGGATCGCAGCCCCGCCGCTGTCAACTTCCTGGACGTGCTGCTACACGGCACGTACGACCAACTCATTTCGCTGTCGCACGCCATGGAGGCGGTGGAAGCCAAGCTGAACCGTGCAGCCAACCGCTTGGCGTGCTGCGTGTCGCTCATCCTGATGCTCATTAAGTTCCGGTTCCATCTCAGTGATGAAGACGCACGGCTGCTAGAAGCCTATCTTTCTCCTGTCGTGAACGAGACGGCTGACAGCGGCGCCGTGGAGCAAGGCTGGGAGGAGCGGACAGACTGCGCTATGACGGAGTTGCTGCGTACGGTGCTGGCCAAGCAGCCTCAACACAAGGACGGCGCATCTGCGGCATCCGCTGTCGCGACGAGTGAGCTACAGATGCAGGAGGACACCAAGCGACTCAAGAAACACATCACGATCGTGTGTGATCGCCTCGGCAAGGGGGCGTCTCTCGTCCCAGGCAACAGCACCAACACAGTAGCCAGCAGTGCAGCTCCAAGCGAGTCCAAAGGAGACTAACGGCCCGCAGTGCTGTGCTGTAGAAAACATGTAGGACGGATCCATTTGACTTGAAAAGTGTAAGGACGAAGTTGAAGTTGGCTGATTGCCAATCACGCATCCTATAGGCTAACAAAAACTCTTCTAAATTACATGATTGGATGAAAACCCGGAGCTAGTTCGGGCAAATAGGGAAAAACCTCTGACATCTGCTACTCAACCCACCCGCCTTCCAGCAGAGGGCGTGTGGGCAGAGAGGTACACGTATCCTCTGCTTCTTGTCTTTCGTCTCTGACAATGGGCGGCGCAATTGAGTTCTCTCTGTCCATCACTTTCAATTTTCCCCAGTAAGAGACCAAGATGAAGGCGGCGCTGCAATTGCTCGTGAGCTACGCGGCTGTGTTGGCGTCGATGGCGTCGGGTGCTCGCCACGAGGACGCGTTGGTCAAGGATCTGCCAGGTCTGACGCGGGAGCTGTCGTTCAAGCATTACGCCGGCCACTTGCAGCTCAAGGAGGAGGAGAAACTCTTCTACTGGTACACTGAAAGCCAAAGCGACCCGGAGAACGACCCGATCGTGCTGTGGCTCAACGGCGGCCCGGGATGCTCGTCCCTGGGCGGGTTGTTTACCGAGAACGGCCCGTTTGTCGTACGTGACGATCTGAGTATCAAGGTGAATCGCTACTCGTGGAACCGCAAGGCCAACATGGTGTGGCTCGAATCCCCCGCCGGGGTGGGCTTCAGTGGCGACGTGGAAGGACCAAACTACTACAACGACGACGTCGTCGCGGTTAAGACACGCGAGTTCCTTAATCTCTTCTTCAACAAGTTCAGCGAACTCAAGAACCGCGAGTTCTACATCACCGGTGAGAGCTACGCTGGCATGTACATTCCGTATCTGGTGGATCGGTTGGTGGAGGAGCCGATCGAAGGCGTCAACCTTAAAGGATTCGCTATTGGCAACCCGTTCACCGACAATATCATTGATGGTAATGCCTACATCGACTACTACTACTCGCACGCAATGGTGTCGCTGGAAGCCTATGAGAAGATCAAGGTGCAGTGCGGTGCTCACATCGGCTGCCTGTTCGACGACACGCCGTGTCCCTCCGGCTGTGAGGCGTTGCTACAAGAGGCGGAGGTCGGAGCTGGTGGCCTCGACCCATACTTCATCTACGGTGACATCTGCCTCATGGACAATACTCAGGCCAAGGCTCTGCGTAAGAGAGCGAAGCCGTCGGTGCAAATCTCGCCCACACACCGTGGTGACATTGGAGCCTGTGCTGACACTCTCACGCACATCTATCTGAACATGCCGGAAGTACAGCATGCGATCCACGTGACTAAAAGCACAGGCGGTAAACTTGTTCAGTGGAAGGGATGCAGTGACCCCGTTGGTGATCTGTACACGTCCAGTCCGTCGTCGCTACCCAAATACCACAACATCCTGGGCCACAACCTTAAGGCTCTTATCTATAGTGGCGACGCTGACTCGGTCGTGAACTTTATCGGCACGGAGCGATGGATCGGCGGTCAAGGACTCAAGCTGAAGATCACTCAGAAGTGGCGCGCATGGTTCGGCCCCGACCAGCAACTGGCAGGTTATGTGCAGAAGTATGAAGGTCTGACATTCAAGACAGTCAAGGGAGCTGGGCACATGGTGCCGGCAGTGCGTCCGCTGCACGGGCTCAACCTCTTCGAGTGCTTCGTGTACGGCCAGGACGCCTGCAACAAGTTCGTGTACCCAGTGGACGACAACGAGATCGAGGCTGGTCTGACCGTCGTTCAGCAGGCGGCGAATGAGAACATGGACATCGACGATGTCAAGGCTGCCAAAAGGAACGTCATTCCGCACGAGTCTGACTCATCGGCAATCTGGTTGATCTTGCCAGTAGCGTGTGCTGTTCTGGTGGCGGCTGCTGCCGTTGGCATCCGCAATGGAAAGAAGCGTTCGCGCTACCAGCGTCTATACTCCAACGGCTATCAGACCGTGGTATAAGTAGACGCACAACTATAGATATGGCGTGAGTTGAAGAGACAGGGAGAGTATTTGTCATGGGAAGCTAAAGCCAGGCTAACGACGAAAGGATGATGCGTTTTCACCGAAAACTTTTCAGCTGCAAAAAGAGCTTTCGCCTAGATCATGGTGCAATGTACTGTACCATTAAAATTCACTTTGAATGGCAGCCTTCTTTGGAAAGCCGGTCGGCCAGATGAGTGTACTTGTCCCCTGTAAGTTGTCGGACAGCACTTAGCCACGATTGCCAATCAATTTTCGCCTGTGGCAAACGTGGCAGTCAGGAGACGGATGACACACGCCTCTCCATGTCCTAATCTCTTTATATACTTGTATCCACTAAGTGGATCCGCGCAACCGTTCTTTCACCCTCTCCACCACATATTTCGCGCATCCGTTGCGCTGCATTCTTCTCACTCTTCATCTTGACACCGCAGTCGCTGATCTTATCCTTTGCCCATACATAGGCCACGGATCCGATGTCGCTCTTGGTCGTGCTTGCATTGTTGGGCGCCATGCTCTTCGCCTCCCCCGTGGCGTACGATGCCCATCGCGTTGGCGATCTTCCTGGGCTCAAGCAGACGGACGTCCCGTTCTCACACTTTGCCGGCCAGCTACATTTGTCAACACCTACCGAGGAAAAGCTGTTCTACTGGTACGCGCAGTCGCGGTGCTCGCCCGAGAGCGACCCCATTGTGCTCTGGTTGAACGGCGGTCCAGGCTGTGCGTCGTCTGAAGGTTTCTTCACGGAAAACGGCCCGTTCGTCGCCAAGCGCGACGGGACGGTGGGGCTCAACCCGTACGGCTGGAATGCCCGTGCCAACATTGTGTGGGTGGACTCGCCGTCAGGAGTCGGCTTCAGCCAGCCTCTACAAGCTGCGAGTGGCTACTATAACGACGACGTCGTGGCGGACCGGCTTCGACTCTTCCTCCGTGAGTTTTTCAACAGGTATCCGGAGCTCCAAGGGCGTGACTTTTACGTGACCGGGGAGAGCTACGCCGGCATGTACATCCCGTTCCTGGTGGAGCGTTTGGTGGACGACCCGCTGGAAGGTGTGAAGCTCAAGGGTTTTGCCATTGGTAACCCACTAACGGACATGGAGATCGACGGCAACGCGTACATGGATTACTACTACTCGCACGCACTCATTTCACGCGGAGATTACTTCACGCTTCTGGATTATTGTGACCACGATGTGGCGCAGTGCATGTTTACGAAAGTCAACTGCACTTCGCGCTGCGAAGAGGCCGTCTTGAAAGCGCACGAGGCTGCGGATACTGGCGAGTTTAACCACTACTACATTTACGGCGATGTGTGTCACCTGAAGAACAAACAACGCGGTGCCCTGCACTCGCACCTGCTTGATAAAGTGGACCCGAAGATCCAGATGCACCGCGGAGTCGTGGGTCCGTGTGCTGGCGACTTCACTGACGCTCTACTGAACCGTCTCGACGTGCAGGAAGCGTTGCATATTGAAGGCGAACTGCCCGTGAAGTGGGTGGACTGCCAGCCCTACATCTCGCACAACTTCGACCGTACATTCTCGTCATTAAACAAGTATCGGAAGCTTCTTGGCAACGACCTAAAGGTTCTTATCTACAGCGGCGACGCCGATTCGGTTGTGAACTTTATCGGCACCCAGCGCTGGATTACGGAGGATGACGGTCTGGCATTGAAGCCAGCATCGCCGTGGCGTGCATGGCTTGGCCCTGATGATCAGATCGCCGGCTACCACCAGCGATTTGAGCTTGGACTTACTTTTAAGACCGTCAAGGGCGCTGGTCACATGGTTCCTGCTGTGCGTCCGCTCCACGGTCTCCACCTCTTCGACTGTTTCATCTTCGGTGACGATAAGTGCACGGCCATCATCTACCCGACTGATCCGTTCGAGCGCGAGGCTGCTGGAGGTGCTTTCGGGCCTGCAAGCAAGAAGGATGATGATGACGAACATCACGACGCTGTGCTGGCACAGCAAACCAGCGCGACCGTCTCGCAGGCCAATGCAACAGCCGAGGCGGCGTCGGGCGCCACCGTGTCGCTCTTCATCGGTTGCGCCTTCCTCATCCTGGCCACAACGGTGTACGCGCACCGCCGCCGTCGACAGAATGGACACCGCCGTCAGCAGTATCACCCGATTTAGACTCGAGCAATTTAGTCAAGACGCTAACTCATTGAAGAGACCACAGCTCGATATCAGCGCTTTGTTGTTGTTGTACTAATGCACTTCTTCTATCGTTGCTTTTGTAAACCCTAACGGTACTGTAGTGGTTTTAGAGCTGCACTTGAAACAAACTGGTTTCTTACCGGTACTTCATTAAGTATATCCGCTCAGCATGGGCAGCTCAAATAGCAGGCCTCAGGTGCCGGGCAATTGGCATGCCTCGCAGATCCCATCGCAAAAGGGCAAAGTGGCTGTGATCACGGGCAGCAACTCGGGTATCGGCTACGAGACAGCTTTGCAACTCGCTCGCAACGGGGCCCACGTGGTTTTAGCCTGTCGTAATGAGGAACGCGGTCGCGAAGCGGAGGCCAGCATACGGGAGGCTTTGGCAACTATTCCCGATGCTGGAACGGTTGAGTTCATGCAGGTGGACGTGAGCGACTTGTCCAGCGTGAAACAGTTTACAGAAGAGTTCAAAAAGACTCACAACCGTTTGAATTTACTCATTAATAACGCGGGGATCATGGGTGGTGTCTACATCAAGACGGTGGATGGCTACGAGCGGCAGTTTGCGACGAACCACTTGGGGCACTTCGCACTAACTGCGCACTTGTTCGATCTGGTGAAGGAGAGCACGCCCGCTCGCATCATCAATGTGAGTAGCATGACGCATCGAAACGCGACATGGGCATTCGACGAGGACGCCATAATGGTGACGAATGAGCCCAAGTACAGTCAGTGGCTCAACTACGCCAACACGAAGCTGTGCAACATTTTATTCACGTTCGAGCTGGACAGACGCGTGAAAGCTGCGGGTCTGGAGGGGGTCACTGCTGTCGCGTACCACCCTGGCACCACGTCCACGAACCTACTGACGGCGCCGTCCACGCTTAACAGCAACTGGTTGTGGACGACGGCGTTCAAAATGTGGACTTTAATGCCACGTCAAACCAGCGCGACGGGCGCTTTACCTAATTTGTACGCTGCTACAGGGAGCGAAGTCGAAGGGGGAGATTTCTTCGGCCCCAAAGGCTTAAACGCCATGTTTGGCTATCCAGCTCGCGAGATGCCGTCTAAGTTGAGCCAGTCGACGGCAGCAGCAACCAAGCTCTGGACGTTGAGCGAGAGGCTTGCACACTTGTCTTTTGACATCGAATCGTAGGCTATGTTTAGTGAAGGTCATCACCATGTAACAGCTCTATCAACGGTCCACTGAAGGGACATTGATCTGCTTGACTAGTCGTCGGTGTCCGTTGCCACCGAATCCTCCTACGGAATTGGATCCACTGCACCACACTTCAAACGTCTCCGCTATGCCGCTCGGTGCGGTGGTCTGCTATGCTGCTCTAGCATCGCTTACATTGTTGGAGACGTGTGCGACGTCACTGCCGGACACGATCCAACTCGAGATGTTCAACAGCATGGCTCGAAGTCAGGCGGCCAATGCGTTGCAAGGGCGGTATCGGTATCACCGATCGATCGACGAAAACCTCCAGGCGCTAGTGACCACGAGTGACGAGGATCCACCTGATATAGACGCTCGACGCAATGAAGAGACTGTGGAAATGGGGCTCCATTCCGGTTCGGGGTCGCACACGATTCAGGTGACAATCGGTGGACAGCAGCGTGAGCTCATCATTGATACAGGCAGCGGCAAGACGGCGTTCGTTTGCACAGGCTGCAACAAATGCGGCAACAAACGCAAGCACCAGCCGTTCATCTTCACGGACAATACTACGTATTTAAGCTGCGACCAATCCATGACCCCTCTGTCCAATATAGGAGAACCACCGTGCGTAGACTGTGAGAATGGCAAATGTAAATACGGCCAGACGTACATCGAAGGAGACCACTGGACAGCGTACAAGGCGTCCGATGTGATGCAGTTGTCGTCATCATTTGAGGCTCGTATCGAGTTCGGCTGTATCTACGAGCAGTCGGGCGTCTTCCTCGACCAGCCGTCGGACGGCATCATGGGCTTCTCACGACACCCAGACTCCATCTTCGAGCAGTTCTATCGACAAAAGGTGACGCACTCTCGCATCTTCTCGCAGTGTCTGGCTGAAGGTGGCGGTTTACTTACGATCGGCGGCGTGGATCTGGCTCGCCACACGGAACCGGTGCGCTACACTCCGCTGCGCAACACTGGGTACCAGTACTGGACAGTGACTCTGCTGTCTGTGTCCGTTGGCGACGCGAACAACACCGTGCAGGTGGATAGGAAGGAGTTCAACGCCGACCGTGGATGCGTCCTTGACAGCGGAACGACCTTCTTGTATATGCCCGAGAGCACCAAGCAACCATTCCGACTCGCATGGAGTCGAGCGGTCGGGAGCTTTTCGTTCGTGCCTGAAAGCAACACGTTCTACTTCATGACGTCGAAGCAGGTGGCGGCACTTCCAGATATTTGCTTCTGGTTCAAGAACGACGTGCACATTTGTCTGCCGTCGAGTCGCTACTTCGCACTTGTTGGTAACGGGATCTACACGGGCACAATCTTCTTCACTGCGGGACCAAAGGCGACGATACTGGGGGCCAGCGTCTTGGAGGGCCATGACGTCATCTACGACGTTGACAACCATCGCGTGGGAATCGCCGAAGCCATGTGTGATCAGCCACTGCAGGCCGAGGTGGAACTCAGTCTCGATCCTGGTGGTGACAAGTTCCGTGCAAGTTTCGACTACTCGCAGGCCCCTCAGTGGATGCTCGCGTGCGTCACTCTGCTGGCTGTGGCTGGGCTTATCAACGCCATCTGGGTTGCTGCTGCTATTGAGGGGGACACTACCGTAAACATCAAGGGTTCTTCGACTGCAAAAGAAAGCAATGCCTGGCAGGACGAGGAGTTCTCTTTCTTCCTCATGATGGAAGACGAACCCAAGTAACTACTGCTAGAACCATTTGATGGTTAAAAGGTTTAAAGCACATAATGCATTTCCAAAAGGGCATCATTCGTCCTCATGTCTCTCTATCCGAGTGCAACGTCCATGACCATCATGACGACGAAACCCACGATGGTGCCGAAAGTCGCAAGCTTCTGGTTGCCGCTCTGTGTCGTTTCCGGTATCAAATCGTCCACCACGACAAAGATCATGGCTCCTGCTGCAAACGACAATGCGTACGGCAGAATCGGCTGCACATACAGCACCGCACCCGCTCCGATCAACTGCATTAAGAAAAACACACAACCGTTAGTACGTATGACCCTCACTAACCACTCTTCAACATCAACTCACTCCTCCAATTGGCTCAATGAGTCCACTCGCCTGTCCCCACATAAACGCTTTAAACGCCGACGTGCCCTCTCTTCTCAACGGCATCGACACTGCCAGCCCCTCGGGAAAGTTCTGCAGCCCAATGCCTATCGCCAGATTCACGGCATTAGCGAAACTTGCACCGCTGCTGTGGCCCACACTGCCAAACCCCACTCCGACCGCCATTCCTTCAGGCAGATTGTGCAGTGTAATGGCAATCACAAGCAGCAAAACTCGACGGAAGCTACTGGTACTGGCAGTCGTGGGTTTATCGTAGCTCTCATTCTCCTCTTCCTCTCCCTTGTAGTCGTCATCTTTCTTCTTCTTCTTAAGATCGCCGTCCTTCCCACCCATCGAGTGTGGAGACACGCCCAGGTATTTCTCCAAAAGGGGCAACAGCCTCTCGGTGCCGAAGAGTGTCAGCGCTCCGAGCATGAAGCCCACAGCAGCGGGAACGAAAGACCAGCGTCCGTCAGGGCCATACAGCTCAGACGCCTCTGCAATCTCGATGGATGGCGCCAATAGTGACCAATAGGAGGCAGCCAGCATGACCCCACCTGCGAAACCTAGCATTCCATCCAAGATCTTCTGGCTCGTGTGTTTGTCCTCTACGTCCAGCACGAATACCATGGCCGAGCCTAGAGCGGTAAAGCCCCACGTGACGAGTGTGCCGAGCAGCGCCTGAACGACGGGGTGCTGGCCTTCGATCATGATATACGCAGGCTGCTACAATTGTAAAAACTGTTAAAGTAAGATTAC